TACCAAAGAGGGAGATTGCTGGACTGTTATGGTAAGTCTTGTGAGAAACTGCCAGACTGTCTTTTCTAATTCTTAACTGGCTTAATTCCTTCCTATTCTTGTTTGTCAATACCTTTATGTGGAATTCAAGCTGTTCCCTCTCATCCAACTTAAAGACTTTGAAACAACTATTTCATTTGGCAATCAGTTTACATCTGTAAGGTATTATCAAACACCCAATAACCAGGAAACGACTCACAGATAAAAAAAAGTTAATGATCACAGAGGGGCTCTTCAAAGTACAGGATAGGAGAACAGTATATGACATATGACTAATTTTATTAAAAGTAGTAGAGTCACTGTTTTCATATTATAATGATTTTTGCTTACCTAAGTTGCCCTAGTTTTGGAAATCCAAATAATGAACACCAAAATAAGTCCTAAACCCATACTAAATGAAAATGAACGTAAGGACTTCCGCCAAGATGGAGGCAGGAGTAGGTGGACACACTGCGCCTTCTTGCACAACCAAGTTTAAAATCAACAAAGTTTTAGCAACAAAAACTCAGCCAAACCACAGAAAATTGAACTATATGGAAGTCTGACAACAACGAACCCTTCAGCCAAACCAATAAACTGGTGAAGGAGCTAGCAGTGAGATGGACCACAAAGGCCCCAGGACCACGCAGGACCCAGCAGCAGGAAGCGGCAGAGGGGACTGCCATTGTCCCTTTCTGACCCCACCCCCACATACAGCATCACAAACCAGCGACCTGGGTAGCCCCGCCCTGGTGAACATCTAGAGGCTCCATTCCTCATAGGTAACAGGCGCAAACAGATCAAAACATGGCTCAAGAACAACTCAGAGCCCCAGAGCCCATAAATCTAAGCAATGAAGAAATAGCTAAACTTTCAGATGCACAGTTCAAAACACTGGTGATCAGGATGCTCGGACAACTGGTTGATTTTAGTCACAAATTAGATGAAAAAATGAAGGCTACACTAAGTGAAATGAAGGAAAATGCACAGGAAACCAACAGTAATGGAAAGGAGACTGGGACTCAAATCAAAGGAGTGGACCAGAAGGAAGAAAAAAATGACCAAACAGAAAAGGATGAAGAAACAAGAATTCAAAAAAATGAGGGGAGGCTTAGGAACCTTCAGGACATCCCAACATCTGAATTATAAGGGTACCAGAAGGGGAAGAGGAACAGCCACAAGTGGAAAACTTATCTGAACAAATAATAAAGGAGAACTTCCCCAATCTGGCAAAGGAAATAGACTTCCAGGAAATCCAGGAAGCTCAAGAGAGTCCCAAACAAGGTGAACCCAAGAAGGAACACACCAAGGCACATCATCATTACATTAGCCAAGATTAAAATGAAGGAGAGAATCCTAGAAGCAGCAAGAGAGAAGGGGACAGTCACCTACAAAGGAACTCCCATCAGAATGTCAACTGATTTCTCAAAAAAGACCTTACAGGCAAGAAGGGGCTGGAAAGAGGTATTCCAAGTCATGAAATCCAAAGACCTACATCCAAGATTGCTCTATCCAGCAAAGTTTTCATTTAGAATGGAAGGGCAGATAAAGTGCTTCTCAGATAAGATCAAATTCAAGGAGTTCATCATCACCAAGCCCTTATTCTATGAAATGTTAAAGGGACTTACCTAAGAAAAAGAAGATAAAAAACATGAACAGTGAAAGGACAGCAAACTCACAGTTCTTAACAACCACACCTAAAACAAAAGCAAACTAAGAGGACAGCTAGATCAGGAGCAGAAACATAGAAATGAAGATCACATGGAGAGTTAGCAACAGGGGAGTGGGAGGAGAAGGGGGGAGAAGGTACAGAAAATAAGAAGCACAGATGGTAGGTAGAAAATAGGGGGAGGGCAAGAATAATATGGGAAATATAGAATCTAAAGAACTTGAGAAACGTGGTCATGAACTAAAGGCGGGGAACGGTGGGGGAAGGGGTTGCAGGGTGGAGGGGAATGAAGGGGGGAATAGAACAACTGTAATGGCATAATCAATGAAATATATTTAAAAAAATTTTTTTAAATGAACATAAATGCAATGTATGTGTGCAAATAGATTTCAGGTATGTATGTTCAGAAAAGCAAAATTTTAAATACAGAAACTCAGTCTCTAACTGAATTCTATTATAAAATTAGAGTTATTTTTCATAGTTTAAGAATTGGATAAGAAAAAAGTCAAAGGTATTATTAATATGCCCAACAGGAAAACTGATCTTATGCCACTCTATCCTAACCAAGTACCAAAAATGTTTTTTTAAGAATGAGCCTCTGTTCTGTGTAGTTTAGCGATAAGCATGTGTAATTCCACAAATCTGCTACCCACTCTGACAAGATAAACTTACATACCTGATTGTTTACTTTTCCAAAAAATTTTTTGCAAAAAAAGAGCAAAATTCAAAAACTATGTATCTTACCACATTAAGAAGTACTTATATATGCTGTTTTTATGTGCTGCTTAAATGTGAAACACTGAAAGGGATCAGAACAAGCATATATATAATACACGCATATACAACCTAGGTTCTTTTATTGGATTACTGAATAGCTACAAAAAATGTATTTGACCATGCCAATGGGAATTTAGTAGCTGCTAAAGCTCATTTTGCAAAGCAAAAACCAGTCCCTAAAACAGACAAACTTAAGGAAATGCAATACTGATGTGGTATTTTGAAATAAAGCAAATATGCAATGATAGTGATAACTACATGTATGTGGCACATGCTATGTGCAAGACACTGTTTTTATGCTACATTAGCTCATTCGATCCTCACGACTCCAACATTAGGTACTACTGTCCTTATTTTAGAAATAAGATCACTAAGGCCCAGAGAAATTCATGAAATTTATCAAGGTCACAAAACTGAGCAGAATCAGGATCCAATCCCAGGCAAACTGAGTCCAAATTCAGTCTCTTAGGATTATACTGTACTATCTCGATTTCATTTTTGGCTCATACATGTATTCATGTGCTCATAGGAATAAAATAAACACCATTCTCCACATATTGCTGATAGATCTTGATGGCAAATTTGGAAGCATTCGCTATATCTTTACCTACTATCACTTTTTTCCCTAGAAAATAGGCATTTGCAACTTTCTAGTCAAATCACAAAAACCAACTTTCTGGATTTACTCAAATTATTGAAGGACAGCAAAATTCTTGATAATAAATTTATTTTGCCTCTTCCGGGACACCTTGCAATATAATACACCAGTTACTGAATGCATACTTATTGGCTTAACTTTGGCTTTTTCTTCTAAGCCAGTAAGCAGTCACTGGTTTTAGATATAACCTGCTTCATCTCAAGTCCCCAGCATTATAAAAATGAAAAATAACTGCAAAGCAATTTTATATTGTTCTACTGGCATCTATCAAAAAAAGCATTAGTGACTTCCAGAGAGCACAGATGTTTATTCCTGCCCTCCCCAAATGCCACTGAAGAGAGAGATAGATAGATGTATAAAAGGTAACAACATCCACAGCAAATGACAGAATAAAACGCCACCAGTGAATGAGAGATTTAAACCAATTTCAGAAAGGTAGAAAGTAGGTGGAAACATACTGACCTGCAAAGCAGAGTAAGTTATATTTGAGAATATGCACAAAAGGGTGAGGAAGAGATGCCATTCCTACAAGAAAACCCTGAGAGGTTCCAAGCTTGAAATAAGTGGGCTCAAATGTCCTAATTGGACAGCAGGACAACCACCATGGGAATTAGTTGTCCTCCCCCTCTACCCTTCAAACAAAAAGTTAGGAACAGTTTTCTCTGCCCTCAGGATAAAGCCAAAAGTTAAAGAAAATGAAGACCTACATTTTCTATTGTGAATACTGCTCTTAGAGAACAGAGTAGAAATGTAGGCTTAATATCTCTACAATTCACACTGAGGAAATAAAGTTAAGGCAGCTATGCTCAGCAAAGAAGTTGCTCCACTAGTGTAAAGTCTGCAGAAAAGGGGTGCCAGCCTGTCCACCTGCTCACACAGTCAACTGAAAACTTTCAGTCTAGACGCTCTGGTATATGGTGCCAATATTCAATCAGTCCTCCCATTTAGAGAATACAATGCTTATTATCTGCATACATCAAAATATAAAAGGATAAAAAATATATATATATATAAAAGGATAATCGGTGTCCACCAGATGTTTGAGAAAAAAACTATGGAAAAAGACCAAGAAATAACAAAACCACTGACCCAAAAAAAGATAGATAATTCAGGAAATAGAAGGTAATTTTTTATTACATGATCATGTTTATAGATTCAAAAGACCTGCTATGTCCATAAAATAAGGAAAGGCTGCTATTAAAGAGAGTAATTAGAGAAAGAAAAGGTTCTTGTCAAAATTTACAATTCCATTGAAAAGATGACTAACAGAAAGCACAGGCCTTAAGTTTGAATGAGTAATTCAGTCACCACCGTGCTTCCTGAACAGTGGACTCAGAGAATAAAAACCTGAAAAGTGGAAAATAAATGTAGGAAGCGGGGTAAAATAGAACTACCATAATCCCTAAACGTATCCAGAATTGACAAATCAAGAAAAAGAGGTTGTTAATACGTACGTTATCTACACTGAGGTTCATAGGAAGAATGACAACTTACACTTTTCATTTTACATCATTTACACTGTACACATCTTAAAATTATGTACATACATTAACTTTAATAATGTTTTAAGTATTCACCAGAAGAAAATGGCATGGGACAACACCACATCCAATTAAGTGCTATTGAAACTCTCTGGAGACAATAATGTTGGTGACTTATGGAGAATGGCAAATGTCAATACGAGAGATCAAAAAAGGTCACTATCACTGGTTTTCTTCAAAAGGGAGATAAAACATTCTAAGCCTTCTGAAAGCGGGCACGTTAATGAATATAAACATCAGAGATGCAAGCAAAGTCTACAGAATCCGCCGGACCGGAAGCTGGTACCCACCCGCCACAGAAGGATTAAGCAGGAGGCAGCACTAGGAGGAGAAATACCTGCACTCCGGAATGCTGCGAAAGCCCGAGGATTTGACAGTCACATAGGCCAAGGCCACAGAGAGAGACACGGTGGCTAAAGTCTTTCCCAGGATGCGTCCGGCCATCAGCGCCCCGCGGACGGCTTCAGGAAGCAAAGTCGCTCTTGGCTTGAGCCGCCGCCTCCGCCCGCCCCACAGCCCAGAGCCCCGGGGATCTAGCGAGCATTAGGACCCGGCCGCCCTCCCATTCCCAAGAGGGCGTAGCCAGGTCTAATCTCATAAACACACGGACCGGGACCGCTCCCAAAATAACAGTCCGGAGACTTCCCCAGTGCGGTGAATACAGCCGGAGCAGCCACGGCCCTCGAAGTGCCTAGCCCCAGCCTCCGTGAGAACAGCGACACTGGTCGGAGACGTCCCCCGTACGTGACGGTGCTTTACGGCTACGCCGCAAAGCAAAGACGGTACGGGCTTCTTAGCGCGTGCGTCCTTAGACCTCTCAGTCTGCGCAGGCGTTTGGGGGGCAAATAGGGGAGGAACTGGAAGAAGGAAGAAAGAGGAAGGAAGGGAGGAGTGGAGGAGGAGATTGTTACCCTGTTTTATTAAGCAGGAAGGGTTATAAACAGCTGATGTGTTCAACCCACCGTGTCCTGGTCATATCTGAGTGAAAAGTTACAGTAAAAGGAGGTAGGCAACAGATACAAACAATCAGCGGAGTTTTTCTCTTTCTTTTTTACCAAGTTGTTTGCTGAAGCTGCAACTTTTCGCAAGGCTTTGCCTGGTCTACCAGCTGTGAATTAGACATGCAGCCTGGAGCAGGAACAAACAACACCCAGAGAATTTAAGGCAAAAATTTGCCAAACTGGAATTTGGAAATCCAAACTGCCCGAAACATAATATTTATATTATTACCATGACAAGTATTTAAGTACATAATGCGATGTAACGGTGGTGTGGTATAGACACAGACGTTATGAAACTTTCACCATTTTAAAAGGTTAATCAAATGTTAAGGAGTACAGTTCTGAAGACTGCAGAAAACCCTGGTTATATAAAGACTCCATCTGAACCGCTGCACCAGGAGACTTGACCAAGGCTTTTAGCTGCTTAAGGTTTTGTCCCTAGGATGATCCCCAAGGCCCCACCTCTCCCACCCCCCACTTACAGTTCTAGCATAGAAAAGCTCAACACTGCCAGGAGAATTTATTGTCTGTTGCAAGCAAAATCTGGTGATAAGCAAATAAGCCTCAGAAAGCTTCCAGCTATAAATCTTTGCCCTTGGTGACGTACAAGTGCCAACCAGAACTGTTTTCTCAAAGACTTTTATTTTAGAGCCCTTTTCTTTGAAATGCAGATATTCAGGGATATATCCTATGTGCTAGCTCCCAGTCCCTGTGGAAGCATAAAGGCCTAACTTCAGTGGGTGCCGTTCTTTAACTTGCACGACTGCCTCCTGCCATAAACATACAAATTTGTTCCGTGGCCAGGAAGCTCAGTTGGTTAGAGCATTGTCCAGATACTCCAAGGTTGCAGATTCTGTCCCCATTGGGACATATACAAGGATTGGTGTTTCTGTTTCTGGCTCTCAAGATTGATTTTTTTTTTTAAGATAGAAATTTCTTTCTCCTTCATGTAAACAAAAAGGGGCCATGTACTACACCTGACAAGCTCAAGGGGAGGCTGCGTGGTAGCCTGATAAACTCAGAGGCCAAAGTAAACACATAGGATGGTTTGAAATTAAAACTTTACAACTAAACTATAATGGCAAAATAGTCATGTCCTAGGCTGGAATCTTCCCTGACAAAGGTTTGTCTTCACCATAAGTGAGCCTGGTGACATACCTTTGGAATATCAGAGTAACTGCCTTTATTCTGACCTCTCAAAACATAACCACCACACCAAAGACCGCAGATTTCCTCATTGTTATTGTTATGTTAATTGTTGACGGTTAACTATCCTATACCCATAACTGTAAAAGAAGTGTGTGTCCATCATTTTACTTTTTATCCGATCTCAAATATTTCCCCTACTTTGCTTTCTGCAGCCTCCGTACTCTACCACCAATGGATTTCATGTAACTAACACCTCCTTCTTTGATGCTAATTAATAAAATAAATGATAAAACTGCCATTTTCTAGAGCATTTTCTCAGTCTGTTGAGATTTTGCTTTCTGGCAATTCTCACCAGTTTGATTCAAACAAACTCATAAAAATTCTTACAGGTTTGGACTTTTCTTACATTGACATCTAATGAGCTCCGACTAAAAACTCAGATGGCTGACTCACGTGGATCACGCACTCACCCTCTTAACACCCCTCAGTGCCTTTTCTTTAGTACATTCCTCTGTTTTGAAGTAGTCTCCAGCCTTCTGTTTCAGGGAAGTTGAATTCAGTTCATGCAGTAATGTTACTGAATAAAATGTGTCTACAGCTTTACCTAATATCCAGCTCTAACAATTCTTTTGGGTGGTGAAGTACATTATTAAAATGTGCTTGCTTTAAAAAAAAAATCTGGATTTGGCTTCCCCTGGCCAGATAAATATTGTTCTCAAAGGCAGGTTCTCTTAAAAATTTGGCTCTTTCTAGGGTCTGTTCATAAATTAGTCATTAGAGAGGAGAGGAATAAGACATTGAGTCACAAAATGTTTGATCAAAGAATGGGAGAAACAGGAAGGAGTTTTCATGGGAAGTTCTTTGAGCCCACGTGTTCTAACTCTGCATTCTTTAAGGGAGGCTGGAGGGCACTTAATTTAAGGACCCACAACTATGCAAAGAAAACCAATTCCATGGCTTTGGAATTGCACCAGTGCAGACAATGGGGTCTCCTGGATTCCTCCCCTGAGGAACTGTACTTCCAGGTCGGCTAGAATTCAATGTGCTGCAGCCCACTTGTAGGCAGAACTGAAATGCCATCTCGGATATTTACTGTTTCATATAGCTGTCCATTTACATCCCAAATTAAGTGGATGTCATTGGAACTTAAGTGAAAGCTTTCGTTTTTAATTTTATTTTATTTTTATTTAGGAACCACATGTAATTTTAAGGGCATCTTAAAATACTTGGTGATACGAGTAAAAGATGCTGAGAAATAAATATTTTTAAGTAGAAAAGCAGTGTATGGGATTACTGGAATTAATAGATGTGGTAAAAATAAAAGTATCTAAGAATTCTAACCATTTCCCCCTTTTCCCACTTATTTCCTTATACAACAAATATTCACTGATTACTTACTATTTACCAAGCACCACCCTAAGTGTCAGGAACACAGTTGTGAACAAGATTGACAAGGTCCCGATCTCACGAAGCTTGCTTTCTAGGGGAGGGACATCAAGTATAAATAAGTATACTAGGAATTGCAGATTAGGAGAAGTGCTATGAAGGAAACAGACAATTTTTGGTGGAAAAGAATAACTGAAGGAGGAGTGACTACTTTGGATTATAGGGGAAGAGTGACAGAGAAGATTTTTCTTGGGGAGGTCACATTTGAGAGATACCTAAAGACATGAAGCTGCCAGCCATTGGAAAGCTGGGGAAAAAGCATTCTAGGCTGAGAGGACTGTAAATGCAAAATCTCTGAGGCAGGAAGGAGCTTGGCCACAATCTGGGAACAGAAAGGTCAATGTGCTTATAGTATTGTAGAAAACTGGGGGAATCCTGATCTGCGATGAAGTACCATGGACATAACTCGCTGCTTCCCGATACCAATTTAGCCATTCTCCCTTCTCCTATGCCATATATGTAGAAATGTGTCCAGTTAAAAATTTATCTCCCTGTGCTCCCTAAAGCTAAAGGGGCCATTGACCCTCCCTGGTTGGTCATCCTAAGATGAAAGTAAAAGCATACTTCTGTGGGTCTCTAGGAAGGCTATTATTTTTCTGGTGAAAAGAGACTGGCTTATTTGGCAGGAACTATTAATCCTTTGCCATTTCTCCTCCCTCCTTTATTTCTGCTTGAAATGAGGGCACAAATTCTAGACAAGGACCAGGCATATTGAAACCACAAAGACAAAAGCTACACATATAGGTGGCAGAATAGAAGGCAGAAGCCTGAGTCTTTTATGACGTGCTCAAGTACCAGTACCAGTCCTGATGACCTGCTTCTGGACTGAGAAAATAAGCTCTAGTCTGGCTGAGGTACTGTAGTTGGGTTTATTTTACACAAAAATCTCTGCACAAGAGCCAAATCATTAAAGGTTTTCTAGGCCATGGTAAGGAATTAAGAGTATATCACAAGTGCAATGAAAAGCCATTAATAGCCCTCCAAACCTCATTCCTCACAATGTACAGAGGTAGATAATCTAACAGAACTGGATAAACAACAATGGGGCAGGGGTTAGAATGGAAAGTCTGGTTAACTATTGTAGATTCTGAACACTCCCCTCCACTACTGTCATCTGTTCTTTCCCATAATCCTCTGGATCAGAAGTAACCAGCTTCCTTCTTTCTGTTCCTTTATGGCAAAGATTTTGTTTACATCTTTGTTCTTTCGATCATGGGACACTACATACCCACCAGTTGTGTTTCTTAATAAGCAAATGCATTCTGAAGGACATTTGCTTCATGTTGAAGGACAAAACTCTGTCTCACTTAACAAGATTAATCCTGGGTTTCAAGATTAATTCTGTACTAGAGACTCAGAATTCCCATTTGACAGTCACTTCTTTGTTCTAATTCATATTTGTTCTTCCCCTTGAAACACTGAAACTATTATGTCAATGGTTGGGGTGACCCAGGGCATTACAATATACAGAATGTAAAAAAAAAATTTGAAAAGTATTATTCTCAATATTTTTATCTTGACCATGTAATTTGGCCAAATTATTTAACTTCCCTAAGCCTATTCCTTCACCTGTAAAGTGAAGGGATATGGTACTCAACATCATAAGAGCTATGAGAATTAAAGAAGATAACTTTTGCCAATGTCTTACAAAATTGTAACAACTGTGCTTTTCAAGCATTTAAACCATGGGAGCTTGTATTTGCTATGCATATTACACATACTACCACATTTAATCCTGACAATAGCCCCAAGAGGGCTTATATATTGTCCCTACTTTAGAGATGAGGATGCAGACTCCCATAAAGTAAATGACTTGCCCAAGATTACACAGCCTACCCAATAATTTGTAAAGTCAGGTGTATGCATCTCTCAGGGCTGCTGAAACAACTTACTGCAAACTTGGTGTAAAACAATAGAAATTTATTCTCTCACAGTTCCAGAGACCAGATGATAATTCAGTTTCTCTTGTCAAATCAAGTTGTCATCAGGACCACGCTCCTTCTAAAGGTTCTTGGGGACCATCCTTTTTTTACCTCTTCCAGCTTTTGGAGGCTGTGGCTTGTGGCCACAGCTCTTGGCAGCACTCCCAAAGGTCACACTGCCTTCCC